AATCACTGTGCTGTAATCCTCCATTCCGACACGTGTGAACTCTAGATCTTTGTTTGATGTATACAAAGAATGACAGTGCTCTTTTAATATACAGTTAGATGGGTTCTATCAGGGTTCACTATTGAAAGCTTATGTTTAGGGGGAAGTTTAAGGAGTGCATCAATAGACATGTAATTATAGCTTGAAGGGGGATATCACAAAGAGCGTGGTGAATGGGCTTTATACATCCATACAAGCCTACAGTACTGTTCTTTGCACGATATTTCTTAATTCTTTCAATGAGGAAATATCCACTTCTGATATAACTGATGGTATTGCAACATCTTAGATAACCCTAACACAGCTCTACCCCTAACCTTAACATCCACACCTAAACCACGACTATAGCTGCGAGCTGACATGCATGATGATGCAAAAAGTTCAGCTGGAGTTAAAGACATATTAAACAGAACACCACTGCTCATTCATCGTCTTTTTCATTGGTCTATCAAAGTCACAAGTGTAGCTGAATGATGGGCCTTCTCCTTGCAAAAGTCAAGGTCTTGTGATACAAATATATTTAGTGGCCAGGTTTGTGTGCTTCCCGATATGAGATAACGTTTACAAGCGATTACAAACTCAGAACAGCAAGAAACCTGCAGGTTAGTTTGCTCAAAAAACAAGCCATTCCATTCTAAGTACAAGTGCATTCTTTTCATTTCAGCTATATCTTTTACAGGGCGCGTATTCCATTCATTTTCAGGTTCGAACTTCATATTAGTATTTAGTGGGACATGTCTCCATGCTTTAATGTTCTCATACTGCCTGTGCTGCAGCACCTCTTTTCACCCTCTGTCTGAAACCAGAGCCCAGTCTGCTCTGATTGGTTAGCTGGCCGGCTCTGTTGTGATTGGTCAACTGCTAAGAGATGTCCCGCCCCTTAGCTTATCACGTACAATGTGTTGGAGCGCTAGCAAATAGAAGCGTTATTAAATAAAATACAAATACTATTATGAACCTGAACATTTGCATATTAGGCCCCTTTCTTTTCTATTCTCAATGCTCCCCCTAATAGAACAATAGTCATATTTGAGAGCTTTATGTTTTATCCATCACTTTGGTAAGAGCAGTAGTGAATTCCAATCATTTTGTTTAAGCATCTTTTAACAAAATACTGCAGATTGTGCAAAAGTTGCAGAATTCACCAAAAACAGACCCAGAAAGGCTTCTGATTAAAGTTGTGTTTCTGGACACGATGCATTGTTAGTAGCTCAGTCTGTAGGGACTTGTCTTTGGAATCGAAGGGTTGCTGGTTCAAGTCCCGATTGGGATGGTATAGCATGGTAGCCTCCTGTGAACTGCCTAGGTGTCATTGAGCAAGGCACCGAACCACCAGCTCTCCGGCGACGGAACACTGGCAGCCTTTTCGCTCTGACACCTCTTCACTGTCTATAGGTCCTGTTTGTGAGTGTTTGTCCCTATGTGTGTTATTCTAAAATAACACTGGAGTGAAGAACTGAATTTTCCCATCGGGATTAATAAAAGCTGATCTTAATCTTAAACATGACCTGTAAAATGACTGGTGATATTGTGGCGTTTTGGTGGTGTACAGTTTTTGGGGCCTGTGCTGCTGTGTTTATCTGCGAGAAGTACACACTATATAATGCATTTTAATCTCAATCAAATACTTTTACTAAAAAATGAAGCATTATAAAAATGTATTGATTAATATGACAGTGTTTGTGTCCCCAAGTTTGTAGTTGAACAGTGACAGTTCAACTGTTCTGATGTGCAATAACACTGTCGCACTATCAATATCAAACTTTGCGCAATATACTATATATACCTACTGCTGCTTCTTTTTACCATGGTGTACATATCTGCTATTTTATTTTTGTACTTTATGTGTAGGCAGTATAGATTCACACTTAAAGCATTAGCCTAAAGAACAGTACAGCTTACAGAGAAGAGACAACTTCTGATCCTTTACAACAAACACTGTATGCTCTGGTTAGGTTTTTACTAACATTCTAATTCTGTCAGTAATCCCCAATTTTCAGAAATGTAACACTAATCTGATTTTGTGTCACTGTAAGGGATTAGTTACTTTTTTTGTATCCTAGTTACGGAATCCCAGTAGCCTGAACAAAACAAAGTGTGATTATTAAGCTGCAAGAAACAATGTTTTTATGTTTCCATTTGATGAAAAGGAGAGTGAATACTTGACTTCATCAGGTGGATCATGTTGCTGTGTGTACATGTGTAACAACTGTTTGCTACAATAGCAATGACAAGTATCAGTGGGGTGAGTTTGAAAGTGTACACTAAAAATCTTAATTTTCTATGCGTCACAAATTAGTTCAAATGTCACTGTTTTAATCAGGATTTACGAAGTGCTTGAGCTGTATTTTAAACTAACTAATTACATCCCCCCCTGTTCCGGGATTTATATGCAATAATTATATTTGAAGTCAAGCAGAATGAAAGCTTTAAGGCAAGAGTATTTGGGTAAATGTATTTATTTTCACGTTAAGCAACACGTTTTTGCAACCAACTATACACATCCTGTTGTAAGAAGTGTCCCCCACCGTCTCGTCAACATTCCTCGACTCGGCATTGTTCTGTACCCACAGGATATTATGGACAAAGAGACATCACTTATTTTCCCGTGCAGGTAAGACAAGTCAAACATCCTGCTGTGGTCCAGTGCAGGTGATTCTATTCACTGCTGCCTCAGCCCACAGCTTTCAGAGGGGAAAAGATGAACGGATATATGAAACAATAAAGAGTGTTAACATGTCGCGGCAGCTGGAACAAGCCCCAGTAGCCTGGAGGGGAAGGTATCCCCTTCACAGTTACACAAAGTGTGGCGTCTGATGAAAAGAGCCTCATCACTCACTAATGCCTCTGTTGTTAGAGAGTTCCTGTTGGCTCTGAGCCTGTCTGGCATGCCGGCAGCAGTATGACACAAACACAGTGCTGTAAACAGTATTGTTGTTTTTATTATAAATGTAAAAAAAGAACTTTGACTGTTCTGGTACAAAAATAAATTGTATGCCACTCTGAAAAACCCATAAAATCTCCCCACATATTGTACATAACACTCACGCTAACTAAGCATCATTCTATTTAATACATCGAACTTCACATTTGAAACTTTTATAAACCATTGCAACATTATGTTTCACATGTCTTGCATCCTAAGTCTGTTGAGCTTTTATTATGTAATAGATAATAGTTTATATTATTTTTGACACAAAGGCTCTACAGGAAACACACATACCATAAGTGGCAGAATAAAGCGTTACACACCGGCACTCTGAGAGCAGTTCAAAATGCACATATCAAGCATAGATGAGAAGCTACTTACTGTTTAAAACTGACTATTAATAATACTCAGACCTGTTATGTTTATATAACTCATTTGGAACAGCATTTTGTTTCAAAGTAATCATAAAGCCACATGGATTACATTTTCTATAAAACATTATGAGGAAATGGTGTTGATTATTGTCAAACTGTTGATACTGAATGTAAAACTTCCATATAGACAATTTTATCTGAAGTACTCGAAATATGCATTTAAAGTGAGTATAAAAACCAACACCTGCCTGCCCCTCTGGTGAGGAACAGTTGTTTAGCTTTCCTTTCAAAAAACGTTTCCTGTTACAACAACCATTTTTTGTGTGCTACCATAACATCAAAGGGAAACCAATTGTAAAGTACAGGGTTTATATAATCCTAATATTAAATGTCAAATCTGGTTTCTGGCCATCTTAAATGTTCTTGAAATTCTAGTGGATTAATGGGATTTGAGATTGGCACAAAGTCAACTTTTCCTCCATTCTTCTCTGCAGTCAAATGAGCCCCGTTATGATTCCTGCCCCTGCCAGGGTCCCACTGGATGATTGTCAGTGTATTTGGGATCAGGTGAATCAGTGTTTTGCATTTTGCAGGTTTGTCTGGCTGCCTAACAGAGCACAGCTGCTCTGTGTCTGTAAGGCAAAGCTTCACTTGCACAGAGGCCTGCTCTAACCATTTAGTGAACAAATAATGTCTCAAGATGTGTTCGTGATTCACCACTGTCAGATTTAGACATGCAAATGATTCCAATATATGCCATTCATAGATAGCCTAGCTTAGCATAAAGAGGGGAAACATTAAGAAACAGGGAGCCTGGTTCTGTACTCATTGGGAGAAAAATTGTGTAAAACTCACTACTTTACACAATTTTTTACACAGTTTCATCTGTACACATACAGAAATGACATATATGTGCTGAGGCTATTGCTAATGAACAGTCAGCTGCAGGGACTGTGTGCAGCTTTCTGAGGTCTTTCATCACAGTGAAGCTGGACAGTTACATCATACAGAAGTGACGGCAGATGACAAAAGTGTTAACAGTTCCAGCTAAATAGTTCACCCTAAAGCCAAATACTGATTTTAACATTCATTTTTGTGTACAGAGTAAACCACAATACAAATCATTGAGCTTTCTAGGTGGTCGTACTTTGGACGGGGCCATGCCAGCGGTTTCCCCCTGCTTCCAGCATTTATGCTAAGCTAGGCTAACAGATCTCAAAATATTTGTCACAAAAATAGATTAAATATTTATTTAATGAAATACCCTATATTCTTGAAATTTCACTTTCCTGTAGACGCAGGATAGATACATATTTAATTGAAAGTGTTTTCAGACACTACTACTTCTGTTTTTCACAAATGACTACTTTATTTGTAGTAGAAGTGTGTAATAATGATTGAGAAAGTGTTGGATTGTTTCGTGTGTGGGTTAACGATGTGGCAGGATGGTCATTATTGTTTCACTTTCAGTCTTGTTTGTTAACTAAATGAGATGAGGTGTTGTGTTCAGGTGGCTAAAGTATGTTACTGTTTGTATGTGTGTGGACCTCAGGAAGAATATCTAATGCTCACGCTAATTGGGATCCTCATCATGAAGACATGGCTCATTCAGGATCAGCTCCGCACACCTTCTCTTCCTCCTCACACTTCCTGATGAACTAACTCTGTTCGTTTTCGGTCTGCCCCCCAGGTTCCTCCTCAGGCGGTCCAGCCTTCCTCTGAAGTTTCTTCTCCTTCCCTCTGTGGACGGACCTGTCCTTGTGTCCCGAGTCATTCTGCTCTCTGGAGTAGCGCTTGCACTTGCAGGAGGTTACCACGGTGATCTTGTAGGTCCGGGAGCTGCCGTCCTGGCACTGCAGCCGGATCCGCTGGGTTCTGGTCCGGTCGATGACGCAGCGCCACTCCTGGGCGTCGCGGCGGCTCCAGTGCCTCCCAGTGTAAACCCCAGCACCCCCGCCGATCCAGTTGGGCAGCAGGTGGGCTGGCAGACACTCCCCAGCACACACCAGCTCCTTGATGGGGTTGACGCTGGTACACTGGCCATCAGAGATGTACTTTGTGGACCTCAGCTCCCTGCAGCCCACCTGGCTCTGGTCCGGGCCTGACACATGAGAGCATAGGGAGATAAACGTGATTCACGGGCAGAGTACTCAGATCTTGTACTTGAGTAAAAGTAGAAGTACCAGAGTGTAGGAATACTCTTATTACGTTAAGTTCTGTTAAGTAAAAGTCCTGCATTCAAAATGTTACTCAAGTAAGTAAGTATTCTCATCAAAATATAGTTAAAGTAGCGACAGTAAAAGTAGTCATTATGCAGATTGGTCCATTTCAGAATAATATATATGATATGTTTTATAATGATTGATCATGAAAGTGTTCTCAAAGCTGGTAAAGGTGCAGCTAGTTTGAATGACTTTGTATACTGCAGGGTAGCTTGTGAATTTACTCCAGGTGGAACTAAAGTCTGATTTAACACTTGATTAGATTTCACATCATTCATCCACATCTGTAAAGTAACTAAAGGTATTAAATACATGTAGTGGAGGAAAAGTACACCATTTACCTCTGACTTGTAGTGGGGTTGAAGTAAATAGTAGCAAGAAATTGAAATACTCAAGTAAAGTACAAATGCCTCAAAATTGTACTTAAGTACAGTACTTGAGTAAATCTACTTAGTTACTTTACACCACTGTTCAGATGGAAGATAATGTCCCAGCCTGAGGGAAGTGGCTTTTGCTTTGATTGGTAACTGCTATTTTCCAACGGGAAAACCACCTTTTTGATTCTAAGTGAGTAGTGTGGACAGCAACTTGGACTGTTGGGATAACATGAAGTGAATAATGTTGTCCTACCTGAGGTATTACTGTTAAAAGTCCCATGAGAAGTTGCTACACCATTTTGTATGAACCATCCTAAAGTTTTTCTCTCTCCCGAATCAGGGATGCTGAACTTACTAGTCATGGCAATTTGAATATTTAGAAATTCAGGAAAGATTTATCTTTTGAAGGCTTAGATTTGACATTTCCAGTTATGCCTTTTAAAATTCCTCTAATGAAATGAGTGGAAATGGACGATTTTGAATGCTCTTTTTACAGACAAACATTGACACATTCTAGCAGAGCGAAATGTAGACTTTGCATGGAATCCATAATATTAATGTGAGCAGGGCAGCTCTTTAATATTCAGCGCCCGACCCATCTTCCACAACATTACAAAAAGATGACCAGTGGTGTAAAGTAACTACGTAGATTTACTCTAGTACTGTACTTTCATACTATTTTGAGGTACTTGTACTTTACTTGAGTATTGTCAGTTTTTTGCTACTTTTGACTTCTAACCCACTACAGTTCAGAGGTAAATGGTGTACTTTAACTCCACTACATGTATTTAATACCTTTAGTTACTTTACAGATGTGGATGAATGATGTGAAATATAATCAAGTGTTAAATCAGACTGTAGTTCCACCTGGAGTAAATTCACAAGCTACCCTGCAGTATACAAAGTCATTCAAACTAGCTGCACCTTTACCAGCTTTGAGAACACTTTCATGATCAATCATTATAAAACATATCATATATATTATTCTGAAATGGACCAATCTGCACAATCACTACTTTTACTGTCGCTACTTTAACTATATTTTGATGATAATTATTTTCTACTTTTACTTGAGGAACATTTTGAATGCAGGACTTTTACTGTAACAGAGTATTCCTACACTCTGGTACTTTTTTTTTTTTACTTAAGTACAGGAGCTTAGCACTTATTTCACCTCTGTAGATAACATAACATTATATATTAACATAATTAACAGTCTGTAAGCACACGCGCCATGCGTAACCGTTCGGACTCACCGTTACGCACAGAGTCAGCCAGCCCTCTCCCGCCGTTCCTCGCCTGGTTCAGGTCTCTCTCGGCCGGCTCGTCTTCGGGCTCGTGAGGTGGATGCGCGTGGACTGACTCTGTGGCGTCGTTGTGAAGAGCTGAGCCGCTCGTGCTCAGCAGCAGCAGGAGCGCGAGGAGTTGGAGCATGGCTAATCTGAGTGAGAGCTGCTGTCGGGGACAATATTCCACCTGATGACTGAGCCACCTGCTGCAGCCCAGCTTTATGTATCCTCCTGCAGCAGGGGGGGGGGGGGGGGGGGGGGGGGGCTTATCGTACCTTACCGACACAGTCACACCCATTACTGTACCTAACCTTACATTATATTGTATTTAGCCAGAGGTGGGAGAAGTACTTGTACATTGTACATTGTAGACATTGTACTTAAGTAAAAGTAGAAGTACCAGAGTGTAGGAATACTCTGTTACAGTAAAAGTCCTGCATTCAAAATGTTACTCAAGTAAAAGTAGAAAAGTATAATATCAAAATATAGTGAAAGTAGCGACAGTAAAAGTAGTCATTGTGCAGATTGGTCCATTTCAGAATAATATATATGATATGTTTTATAATGATTGATCATGAAAGTGTTCTCAAAGCTGGTAGCTTCTGAATTTACTCCAGGAAACAGTTTCTTCCCCTCTGTTACTTTTTAAATCTGCACAGGTCTCCACTTTGAATATAGTTTTTGCCATATTATATTTTATTTTACTTTACTGTACTCAGTTTCTTACATATTTATATTTTGGTGTAAATACTGTATTTACAGAGTATATTAGGTTAGTTGGAAGCAATAATATTAATTTAAATGAAAAATGTGAAATCTGTTGACTTTTTTTACTAATTTGTTTTTATTAATTCAAGTCAATGTTTCAGTTTTTTCAGTGTACTGAAGTCTGAGCCCATTCCTTCATTTTATTTGCCTTTTCACTGCCATGCAGGAAAATCCACACTGGACTTACAGGGGGAATTTGGGGACAAACTTGGTATAATTTGATCATTTTGTATCATTCTTGTTAATGTATTCAAGTTTGCGGATCAGTCGTGAGCTTTACCACATTAACGTTTACAGCCCTACTGAAAGTACATTAGCTTCAAAAAGGCCAAATCCTTTTCAGCAGGACAGCTGGTAGGCTAACACCAGCGTCTGGAAGCAGATTTGGGCATCCACTGGTAACCAAAACAGCCGCCTGTTCGTCTTCATCAGATGTTTTATCCTAGCTGTGTCAAGAATCCTAGAGGAAAGCACTAGATAAACACTGCAGTATAAATAGTTAACCCTAACACAGTTTGTAAAGGAAAACAGAAACAAAGTTTTAAACAAATCTTGCAGTCAAAAATGAGCCTCTTGACAGACTTTCAAAGTTTATTAAAAGTATTTGTTTTGGACATGCTAGTGATACATTACAGTCTTTATCATCGTATGATCTCTGAAGGATCTCTGTGTTCACATTTTCATTCAGTTAGTTGCTTTGTTGTGACAATATTTTGGACCATAATAGTTTGAGTACAAACCTAGTCAGAATTCTTTTTTTTTCTTTTTTTTTTATCAAATGTTTTTATTCACACACATTTAGAAAAATACAATGTACAATCACAACAAAAATTACAAAAAATACAGAAAAAACAAACAATAACAACAATCAGACAAGAGGACAAAACTAAGGGAAACAAATAAAAATAAACCCTCCCACCCCCAATCCCAGGACCTCTCAGGACCAATGACTGCAAACAACTATATCAGTTAAGATTGCTAGATCCGCTCCTTAAATGTTTCAGCTGTCGACACCCATAAACCGATATTGGACTCCTTAACTCCAATCACGCGTGCAGTGGACAGTTCCATGTAGACTACGTCAAGAAACGTTAGTAACCATCTTATAGCAACCAATTTCTTGGCAGCCGTAAGGCCAGCATCGAGAGGTCTTTTCTGGTACCCAGTAGCCGGCAGCTGAGATAAGTCATTCAAAAGAAAAACAGACACAAATACAGGTACAGTCAAAGAAAATATGTCGGACAACTTAGAGGAGACCCCGTTCCAAAAGCGAGCAACATGCGGGCATTCCCAGAGCATATGGAGAAATGTACCAGGAGCCCCAATGGAGCACAGGGTACACCGAGCATCTGCCAGAAGACCCATCATATGCAGCCGTCTGGGTGTCAGGTGAGTTCTATGCGCATAGTTCAGGTGGATTTGTTGGTGGTCGGGATTGCGAGACGCCTGACGAATGTTAGCCCAGACCGAATCCCAGTTCAAATCAGGTCTCAATTCTGGGACATCCTTCCTCCACAGTCTATGGGAAGGTTACCATAAGAGGACTCAAGTAGGTGAGTATAAAACATAGAGACAAAGCCCCTGGATGGTCTTCTATCAGTGATGAGTATGTGGAATGGATGCCGTGCTAATTGTTGATCCCACGGGACCCCATAAGCCTTAAGGGCTGTCCTAAGCTGTAAATAAAAAAAGAAAGAGGTGCCTGGAAGGTCATAACAGCCTTTAAGATCCTGAAAAGAGTAGAGACCACTGTCACTGTAAATATCTCCCAAGGTGTGAAGACCCTTCCTCCCCCATTGGGAATAATTAATAGGCCTCCGCCCTATGAGTAATTGGTTGTTATTAAATATTGGCGAATTGAGATGCCAGGGGCATTGAATAGCGCATACTTTCTGTGCATTTCGCCAAGTCTGAATTACATGAGTAATCAGAGGGCCGAACCTAAGCTGACATTGTTTGATAGATATGTTTGTGTAAATGATGTCCTGAAGTCTCCATGGGGAGACTAAATTCTCTTCTAAAGCACGCCATGAAACCACAGCTTTGGGGTCAAACCAATTAATCAAAGGTCTTAATGAAAAGGACCAGAAATACAATTTAAAATGTGGTACTGCCAGCCCCCTATCAAGCCTCCTCCGTTGAGTAGTGGACATTTTGAGTCTAGGCCGCTTGTTGTTCCAAATACATTTTGAAATTGCCGACTGTAGTTTCTGCCAATGACCATTGGGGGGCGATAAAGGAAGCATTGAACTGATAAAATGAACTCTCGGCAGTATATTCATTTTAATTATTGAAGCTCTGGGCTGGCTCGACCACCTATTGAGGTCCTGGAGAACCTTGTTGTACGTGTCTGTATAATTATTCTTTATAGTCTTGTTAAGGTTTGGGAATATTTCAACATCAAGATATTTGAAATGTTTTACCACAGGTATGTTTGCAGGGAGAATACCTGATTTGGCAGCGTCGTTGAGAGGCAAAAAGGCAGACTTGAGCCAATTAATCTTAAAACCTGATAGGTTGCCAAATTCCTCTATTACACTAAGCAGACGAGTTGCAGACGTTGAGGGGTTCCGCATACAAATCAGTACATCATCCATGTAAAGGGCAATGTGATGAAGCGAGCCTTGGATAGAAATGGGGATAATATCCTGTGATTGTCTAATAAATTGGGCCAGTGGCTCGAGCGAGAGGGCGAAGAGCCCTGGACTCAAGGGGCAGCCCTGTCTGGATGGCCTTGCTACAGAAAAAAGCGACAAGATAGTTTTGCCTGTTAAAATCATTGCTGAAGGGGCAGAATAAAGTACTTTGATCATATGGATGATCTTACCTAATCCCATAGACTCTAGAACAGCCCATACATTACATTACATTGCATTTAGCTGACGCTTTTATCCAAAGCGACTTACAATAAGTGCATTCGACCAAGAAGATACAAACTTGAAGAAAACAGAATCATATAAGTACATCAGGTTTCATAGAGCCAAAACATTTCAAGTGCTACCCAACTGGCTTTAGATAAGCCAGTCCTTTATTAGTATATAAGTGCTTTGTTAGTAAATGTTATTGCTCGAAGTGGAGTCGAAAGAGATGAGTTTTCAGTCTGCGTCGGAAGATGTGTAAGCTTTCTGCTGTCCTGATGTCAATGGGGAGCTCATTCCACCATTTTGGAGCCAGGATAGCAAACCCACGTGTTTTTGCTGATGGGAACTTGGGTCCCCCTTGCAGTGCAGGTGCAGCGAGCCGTTTGGCTGATGCAGAGCGGAGTGCACGTGCTGGGGTGTATGGTTTAACCATGTCCTGGATGTAGGAAGGGCCAGATCCATTCACAGCATGGTACGCAAGTACCAGTGTCTTGAAGTGGATTCTAGCAGTTACTGGAAGCCAGTGAAGGGAGCGGAGGAGCGGCGTGGTGTGGGAACATTTAGGAAGGTTGAAGACCAGACGAGCCGCTGCATTCTGGATGAGCTGCAGAGGTCGGATGGCACATGCAGGTAGACCAGCCAGGAGGGAGTTGCAGTAGTCTAGACGTGAGATGACGAGAGCCTGGACACTTGAAAGGATATGGCGTTCCACTAAACTTGAAGAATCTCGTTTAATTTGGCATATTACTCTCAATGAATATAAGAAAGCACTGCGTAAAGCGAGAGCAGCTTACTACTCTTCATTAATAGATGAGAATAAGAATAATGCAAGATTTCTTTTCAGCACTGTAGCCAGGCTGACAGAGAGCCACAGCTATATTGAGCCTTCTATTCCCATAGCACTCAGTAGTAATGATTTGATGTGCTTTTTTAATGATAAAATTGTTACTCTTAGAAACAAAATGAATGACCTCTTGCCTTTGACCAGTAGTGTTATCAACAGCTCCCGGAAACGTAAGTTCTAATATTACACTAGATAGGAAATTAGAATGCTTTTCAGCCATAAACCTTGAACAATTGAATTCAATGATTCTTTCTTCTAAACCATCAACGTGTATCTTAGACCCAATTCCAACTAAGCTGTTAAAGGAAGTTTTTCCATTAATTAACACTTCTTTATTAAATATTATGAATATGTCCTTATTATCAGGCTATGTTCCACAATCATTCAAAGTAGCAGTGATAAAACCGCTTCTTAAAAAGCACAACCTCGATCCAGAGGTTTCAGCCAACTATAGACCTATTTCTAATCTTCCGTTCTTCTCAAAAATCCTTGAGAAAGCAGTCGCAAAACAGTTATGTGATTACTTAAAAAACAATGATTTATTTGAAGATTTTCAGTCTGGCTTTAGAACACATCATAGCACAGAGACAGCTCTGGTTAAAGTCACAAATGACCATCTAATAGCCTCAGACAAAGGACTTGTATCTATTCTTGTCTTGCTCGATCTCAGTGCTGCATTTGATACTATCGACCA